CAGAAAGACGCTGTGATAATTCACCCTGCATTATTTATCTTCTGTGTTAAACAAAATGCTGCCTAAAATGATTAGCAGAAAATGAATATATTACTGGTGAGTAGGCACTTAATGTGCGGACGACGCAGTCAATCCATCCGTACAAAAAATATATGTGGTATATGGACTGTTAACTCGCAGAATCGTTGTGCTGTCGGCAACGGTAATGCTGCGGTTCTATGAATTGACAGTGATCTTTGAAAATAGAAAAAACAAACAGGCGTTTTGGCGACCCGCGATATTAAACGACCTGCCGACGTACTGTGAATTTATACATCGTGCAATTACGTCAATTTATATTTATGTGTTTAAACCGCAAAATCCGGTGACGGTTCAGATCCTCGCTCGCATACTAGTCGTGTGTAGTATAGTTATCGATCCGGGGGAATAAACATGGCATTTCATCGAAGCGCCGTGCCTAATCCAGCTGCGAAAATACTCGTTCTTTCCATCACATTGAGCGAAGTGAGAGAAAACAAAACTCACATCCACTGCGAAAATCCCCCTGCATTTGAGAGCATCATTCTTTTGTGGCTAGGTGTAGATGACAGAATGGGTGCCATGGCAACAGTGATGTGGTAATGACAACTTTGACACGTATGACGGATTATTATTAGCTGTACAGAAACCGTCGCGTTCTCGATTCCACGATTGCAATCAAAGTACCATTGAAATGGATTGATTCAAAAGATCATGAGGTGAAGTCGCGCGTCGATACCCGAGAGTGTCCATCAGTTTGCCGCATTCGCCCGTGTTTTCTATACTTTTTGCCAACTCAAGGGTTAATTTGCGCCTCCAGTTCTCCGCTGTCATTCGCGAATCCCTCCTAGTGCTGTACACAAAATTGGGGTCCTGTATATTTTCCTGTCGGGTGTTCTCGTCCACCCACTTCAATACGTCGCCGTGAAAGTTCAGACCAAGAAATTTGTAAATAATCTCGGCTGTTTTTTTCGGCTCGTACGCTGCGTCTTCGTAGCGAATAACTTGATAGTTGCGCTTGGGAAACCATGAGGCGTGCCGAGCTAGTAAGATGTTACGAAGTGTTTCAGTGCAATAACGTTGCAATATCTCCGAGAGTTCAGGGTGCGCATTAAGGTGTTCGACGGTGAATATTTTGTTGGATTCCATTCTGCTTATTGTGCGGTAACCATTAAGATGTATGGGCAATACGGATGAAATCTTTCCACGAGGATCTCGGATTACGTTGATCACTTTCAGGTCAATTTCCGGATCTTTCATTAAATGTATAAGATTGCTCAAATCATTTATACGGATTATTTTCGCTGCTTTAATTGTATGCTTCGTGCATGACTCTGACGCTATCGCCGGGGTGAACGGTTTACAGTTTTCGTATGTTTTATCGGCGGTGTTCCAACCCGAACAATACCTCCAGCCTACCCATTCTCGTACATGATTCCGTTTCGTCATCACCGACTCACTATTGAAATCGTCCAAAAATCTTTTCAAACTAGGAGCGGAAAAATTGCATCTGTAAAACGCCGCCAACATGTCAGCCCCGAACAGGGGGAGATACGGATCGCTGTCTTTAAGTTTTAGAGACTTCAGAGGTTCGAATATGTACAGAGAATCGGGGTTTTGGTTCAGAAGTTCACCAACGAAACTCGAACCAGTCCTCATGCTAGCAGAAACGAGGACGTTTGTGCCAGTTGTCTGTAAAACCGGTAGCGAATATCTGGTACTCCCATTCTCCCTGGGCAGTTCATTCAATAAACTACTTTCTCTTCTCTGCTGTTTTCCTTGCAATGCGTTTACCATTTTATCAAAGTGCTCTGATTGTTTCCGCGTGAGGTTCTTTATTTCGCCTAACCTTTCGCGCACATCCAATATGGCGTTCACGATGTCGGGGTCACCAGCTGCGAAACCGGCAGTGTGTCCACTGAATATGGCTCTTGATCGCTCGACTGCCGCTCGATGACCGGCGTCGTATCGGGTGTATATAACCATAACAAATACCACGTTGGTGAGAAGTAGAACAAGCAATACACAGGAATGGTTTCGTGATAGTCGAAATGTACTTTCCCTAGGCATCGTTCAAGGCCAGTGCGTGGCAGTATATATCAGCAACGTTGCTATAGCGATGTAACCCCTACCGGCTTGCTTCACATCGCTACGTTGCAATGCGGTATGTCGACCTACTCCCCGTTTGCCTTCGTCTGAATTATCATCTCCGAGCCGTCATCAGTGTTCAGTCCTCGTCAACTGTATTGTTTTGAGCGTTCCCTAATGAACGTGTACTTCACACGTTGCTACGCGTACTGAGTCTGGTTTCACAATATCATTATCATAAATAAGATCACATCGTTTGCGCGTAGCTCATTTGAATAATGAGCTGCACACAACCCACCACGGGCGAGTTCATTGACGACCATTCAGGCGTGTTGTTTATTTCACCACCTTGCAAAGTACTTCATGTTTCACACGTAGCTCTATAATCACGTTTTTTGTCTCTTTATTGATTTATACTCGTCGTCAATTCTACGCCGGTCCTTTGATGAGATGAATCTCGCACTCGCCAACTGCCGCGTTAGCACAGTGCAGGTATTGAATGACGTTGGGAATGTATATTTCAAATCACATTAAATATAAACATGATTAGATTATTCGCGCGAAAAAATTAACGGTGAATTGATATAGTTATTTTTACCGCACCATGCTAATACCGATATTGTGTTATTACCGGTATATTCAACAATCGGATGGCTCGTTACGCTGCCTGCAAACAGGGAATTACAGTAAATGACGTCATTTCGGGGTACTGTATGCTACCCGCCTATCAATGGGAAGAGGTACGCTTAATTTTCACATCACAATTACCCCGTGTATAGAGTATCTTATGAGAGTCAGTGGCTAATAGATATGGTGTTTTAAAATGCGTATAAAGAGCCTGTGTACCACCCAGACTAGCGTAACCGTATTTGTTGTACTTTTGGTATTGCACTATTTTTATTTTATTTGTTTTGATATTATTTATTGATAAATATTGATGATCTGATGAACGCGGATATGAAGCTAATGGAGTATATCTGTAAATACAGCGCAATGCGTCTTCGAATGTAGGCCAGACAATGAGTTCATTCCCGTTATAAAGCAGTAAAGATGACAGAGCCCTCCAGTGCCAATTTGGTGAGTTTACTTTGTTAAAGAGGGTCAGAGGTCGGGCTTTTGTCACTCCGTACACGAAATTTGAGATGTCTGAATGACTGGCAATAACACATATGTCTTCAGCGCAATATGTCTTCAACTGTAGGCGAGAAAATGAGTTCAGCCCTGTTATATAGCGGTAAAGATGACAGAGCCCTCCAGTGCCAATTTGGTAAGTTTACCTTGTTAAAAGGTAGCAGAGGTCTGGTTTTTGTCACTCTGTACATCGAATTCGAGATATATAAATGACTTCTGGCGATAAAAATAATATGTAAATAAACAGAACGCTTCGCAGGTGGCCAGCAGCAACAGTTTCGTATCATTCTCTCATTTTTCAAGATGAATGCAAAGCACTCCACTGTCAAGGAAGGTCCGAACGGAATACACCCTGTGAAGGCGGACGATGTTTATCGGCGAATTACGCAGCACATACATTAATCCCATGTTCTTGTGTGATCTGTAAAAAAGACTTCCTCTAAGTCCTGTAAGAATCACAAGTGCTTTGGATTCTTTGTAGTTCACTGGATATCTTATCCAACATAAGTAGTTTCAGAAAACATCGCAAGAAAACTAATTTGCCTTAGCTTGGAAGATTAGCACAAAGCACGATTTATCGCCAAAATGATTTTATAATTTTCTATCACATAAATTCTGGCGTTGTGCATTTATGAGGGAATGCGACTTTAACTAAAATTATCCAGCCTGAATATCCCATTTGTTTCAACACTAAAACGAGTGAAAGCGTGAATAATCCGTGATGTGACAAAAACGCTGCATCTTCAAGTTTAATAATGTTTAGAATTCAGTTCAAAGGGGCAGACCGAATCCCGCGTGTATATGCTAAAATCTACGCTAAAGTCAACAAACCCATGTCTATACTTTTTCTAAATATCTCAAACCATTATAATTCAAAATTAGTTTCATTCAAATCAAAATGAGACGATTGGATTGGCGTCTCGGTTCATTCCTCAATTTGTGATTGGTCGACACTTCCCCCACCTCACCACTATGTAACTTGAACATAATAATCTGCCAAATCCGTGACGTCACTACACCAGCTCTTGCAATGTATAAATACCAAGTGGATTTTTACATATTTTAATTTATAAATTCTATATTATATTTTACAAAATGTAAGTTTCACACATTCACCCATGTTAGATTTCCCACTGGAGTTTTCAGATCAGCAATGTGCAATGAACGGATCATACCTTTACATCGCACTGATTTGCATGAGCCGGTGTACGTGCCTTTTTTTAAATTAGTTGATATTATTACTACATCGGCCATCTGCAAACAATTATGATACAGTTACATGAAGCAACGGAAACAATTTTGTTTTGACAATGCTAATAAGATATGGTCTTAAGAAATAACAAATATCAATGACTTACAGTCGCAAACAAATTTACAGTCGCAGAGAAATTTACAAGCGAATAAAACTACGTAACCATGGAACACATACGTTAGTGTGCGTGTGTAAGCCGCAATGACATTTGTTATCAACCAAGTCTCCCACGGCACCTAGTATGATATAGCTATCGCGAGGCCGGGATTATGAAAACCAACAATTACTACTACCACCAGGTCCGTTTAATCCACGTTGATCTCCGCTAGGTTATACAGGACACACAGATAACAATATCACATACACTGAATATATACACTACAAATTGTATTCGATTAATGAGTTCAATAAAAGAAAATATAGCAATGCGCCTTTAACTTTAATGAGTGTGTCTTTAATCAACATTTGTTAAACACACGACTTTCTTGTATAATGAACATTTTAGGTGATTCACTTGTAGATTAACCTCTAGTGAGGATCGAGTAGTTTTGTACCTGATTTCTTACGGGCACCGATGCCAGATGAAACGTACTTATTCGTATTAATGAGGATATAGGCGACGTAACTACATTGAGATTGGGGAGTAAAACGTGTTCTTATTACGAGAAAATTCAGCAGGCAGGGTCTGTCATACGTCATTGTAGTGCTATAATGGACACTCTCACAAAAGGTCAACTCGGCTGTCATTCTGAATTCAAATTACAGTCTTGTTTTTTTATTGCGTGACTATCATTGCTTATAAATCACTTGAAGTGCAACTATTCCGCGAGCAGTAAGAACTATAACTGAGAGGGCGCTCTAAACAAATTTGTTTCTACAGCCCACTCTACAATTAACCATAGATGTCAACACAATGATTAACTTATTCAATTCAATGAACAAGTATGACTTTGATTACAACAAACAATCATTTCACTTAATAAGGACAATATGGATAATATTATGTCTCAATCCGTTATATTCAGGCTCTAAAGTGCCCCACATCTGTTGAACATACGATATGATCAAATGACTAATTTTCAGTATCGCATAGTCACATATCCAAGATCCACACTGCCCACAAAGTGTTGTCCACGTTCGTCTCAAGTAGAACGATAATGTGAGAACTGAGTCTTGTTGAATAGTTCCTATACTGTAGTAAGCATTTGCAAGGTCATTTACCCCAGAGAGTTTAGACCTAGAAACTACGTAATCCGTCATAAAGGTTTGCAGCTATTGGTTGATAACGTGTAATATACACCTAGATATTTAAAGTGCCTGTGAAATGGCTGCTATTTTT